GCATGTTTATGTTTGCTTTGGATATGCCTTCCAAACGTGTCACCAAGGCTAGATTTGATGTCTGTGCAAACAGCAAACCTGTAAACACTGTCTAAAATGCCACTGAAGTATAAACTAAAAGACTTTCATTTCAATACATGAATGCCATTTCTGTGTGTACAAATTGCACAAGTTGTCAGGAATATCTTCTGAACTTATAGCTTGAAAGCATGGATAGGCTTCTTTTTAAGTATAGTACATGGAATCAGAATTTTCTTTTGTTATTCCTCAGTAAGCCAAATGCTTTGAGACAAAGAGAGAAGTTAACCTCTTTAAAAGTGTATACAATAGTATTTATTTTTATGATTGTAAAACATTTGAAATACTTTTAAAAGCTCTGTGTCCTTGCAATGCACATGTGTCGTTCAAGTATGAGTCTGTTTAAGGTGCTCACCATGTTTTTAACATAAAATACTTGGTCTGCTTTTTTTAAAAGTTTTAATGGATTTTCTATATATTCTCAGTACTGCTCCTGTTACTGAGGAGGGTATGTTGCAGTCAGAATCATTGCTTTGCAGTAATCCTATCTAAAAATGCTGGCCCCAAGCCTACTCAGGGATGCTCAGCACAGCTGTGGCTCATGCCCAGACCTCCCTGTGGAAGGTCTTTGTAGACATCCTAACTTTTACGATGTGCGATAGCTCTTGGGTTTATACTCTTCAGCAGGCAGACTGTTCCCCACCCTGTGTATGCTTGGGGTACTAAGATGGGATGTTGACCCAAGGGGCTGCATCTCCTTCCAGACAACTTTCCAATTCTTTTGCCCAATGGGAGAGGATCCAAGATTATAAAAATTTTTATTGTGAACAAGTTATTTCTGCTGAAAGTTTGTTATGGCTGTTTGAAGTGCTTAGAGATCTAGAGCTAGATCATCTCAAAGTGACATTCCAAATGCTGCAGCCTAGCTGGCAGTGGAATATTGTGGTTTTGATGTCTGTAAACTCAATAAAAAAGTTTGAGTGAACCCCTCCCTATTTATCGTGTATAGAAGTAGGTAAACTTCTTACTTATTTCCACACGCGCTTCCCAGTGAGAGGAAATTTGTGAATCTAATGAAGAGATGGAGCAAAATGCATCAAGTAGGAAGAGAGAAGACATCTAGTTTGTTAAATTGCTAATCAAGTTGCTGTGAGAAGGATGCTTAAGGAATACTGACAAAAGCAGACGGGTGAGCACATTAGATGCTGTCTGAAATTAATGCAGAGCACATCCTGCGGATGACAGGAGATTCTAAAGAGCTGGAGAACATGCTGAGACTTAGAAGAAATCCCTCACTGATCCCTACACTTAAAGGCAAGCTCGAGGTTTTTCTTTGTACAAGTCATATGTGTCAAATGTTTAACTAAAGCCACTTCCTTGCGTATTTCTTGTAATCCTAGCATGCTCTTGGCTCATGTTTTTTTAATGGCACCACACATGTTGCAAACTGCAGAAAGGTGGATTACACTGTCTGCCAAAGTTGTAGATTTTTTTCTCCTTAGCCTTCCAAAGGCGTTTCATGGGCACAAAGTGCCCTTTATGGCAAACCTGCCATATGTGAGATTTTTCAAAAATCCATCTTCCCAGATGACTTAAATGTGACAACAAAACCTGTAACTTCTGGAGGCAGTCTCTACAGTAGACACCTAGGGTGTAGAAGGTCTTTGAGAAGCGGCCTTAAACATCTTCATGTGCAGGTCCAGTGAGGTACATTTCAGAGGCTGGGGTACTCTGTTTTTCTGCTGGGCCAAGCAGAGTCTTTTTTGGCTTGTACACACCAAGGGAAAAACCCCCAACCATGTTTATTGTTTGGTTTAGTAGAATAGACTTGAAAGTTAGAGAATCCTGGGGCACATTGGTGGCCCACGTTTGCAGAATACAATAGTTCCAGTGACAGACAAGAGATATCACTGCGAAATGTATGGAAAGGACAGGGGCCCAGGGAGTTTCATGCAGTTGCGGCTTCCATCAGTATGTCTCACGTGTTACTCACATGTTACTCATCCTTTGCAGAGGTAACTCACAGATTAACTGTGCAGCAGCAGCAGAATGGTGTTTGGAGGCAAGAGGGAGGGTTGGGCAGCACTGCATGCTAGTACTGCAAGACATCCCAAACTCTCTCTTTGCTGTAGCAGTCAGTGAGAAAGCATCAGGAAGTCTCTGGCGGCTTGGTGTGGAATAGGGATCCTCCGTGATACCATGCATTATCCTCGTAAAGCATATTTTATTTGGCAGGCCATTGCCACAGAGAATATGTAACAGCCCCTTGTTCCTAGTGCTTCTTCTAATAGAGGGTGCGCCTAGGCCTCAGGCAAATCTGATTGTGTAGTACCTTGTCACCATGAGAGATGCAGATACAGAGTAGAAACATGTAACACATGATAATGTACTGTTACTTCTTTGTAATTCCTTCCTTGTGAAACCTACTTCTATTTAGTAAAATGACTAAGCTTTATAGTCAGACCCCTTCATGGTGGTAAATTTAAAACATGACTGATGGCAAATACAGCTACCACAGCACTTGTTTCACACACACACAAAGGTCACATATTTGCTAATTTTTTTTTTTTTTTTGCTGTTGCCAAGGCACAAGAATCTTAGATGAAGTAAAGCAGTGGGAGACAGAGCCTGTAGTTATTCTCCAAGGGCATAAATGTCAGTTAATTTGAGGTTTTGGTTGTCCTCACGCTATCGACTATAATTCAAAGTAGTTCTAGGCACATACTGGATCTTCCACGTGACTTCCAACAAATGAATAAAAGTACAAGACCACATATGCCAGGTCAAAGTTCCATGTAATCAAAAATCTCCTGTCCATGTATGTTCCTTAACAAAAGCTGAGGAAACAGGGAAAGAATTGAATACAGACATCCAGTGATCAGTGTTTAGAGATTCTGTGACCTATGGATTGCATCATTTTTATTACACACCAGCAAATCAAAATAAGAGTAGGTATTCGTGGCATAATCTTATTCTGGGACAGATTCACCGCTTTATTGTGTTGAATATGTATCCATGTAATCAGTGTCATGTAAGTAATTTCACTAGCATAAAACCAGTTTGATTAAATGGAAAACTAGGCTTTCTTTCCTCATTTAAGAAGTTTGGGGATTGAGTTATAAAGGCTATTTATGTATTTGTGATTTGCATCAAGGTGTCATTTCATTTAGGCTTTACATATATGGGAAACTACTACAATCATCACAGTAGCAGTGTATGAATAGAGCTCAGGTTGATGCAGGGGAGAGCAGGATATTTCCTAGCTGATTCCTGCCATATCCTGCAAAAGATAAACCCTTTAATCGGATACTTCATTAGCATCAAGGGTGGAAAAAACAGCTCATGCTAGGGATTACTTAGTACATGTAGTTAGTGGGAGAAATTATGCATTGAAGAAAATACAAAATCCCTTGAATTAATCTTTGAAATAAATGGAGTTTGAGTCTCCTCTCTCTTACACTGGGATAAATGAAGAATAATTCCATTTCAGTGACTTAGATACACTAGTGTAGTTGGAGAGGAAATTGAGCTTGCCTGGTCTCCCAGGATTTGAAAAGATTTACATTTTTAAGGCAGAATTGTTCATCCTTAAAATTTGTACTCGTACATTTGGAGGAAGAATCGTGACCCTGTGTCACAAGGTAGAACCCTTTGACACATGGTTTCTACCTGTTTAGACTGGAGTCTATGCCATCGTGCAAGTTCAATACTTAACTTTGGTTGGCTTAACTTTGCCACTGGCTTTAGTATTAGCAGCTTTAAAAAAAGCCAAACAGTGATACATGTTAAGGGTTTGGTGAAACTCTGAAATATACCTTGGTTTATGTTGTCACTTTTACAATGTTAAATTCTTACCTCTTGAAGATTAAAATAGCAAATTTGTCATTATTGTAGGCAGGCAGAGCAGAAGAATTCCTATTAACTTTGAAAGTCTGTCCTTCGATATTTTGGTGGACTTTCCTACCTTTCCATGTCCATTGTTCAGCTTCAGGCAATGACTTGACATATAGTTATGCTGTCGATACATGTGCATTGATTGAAATATTTTTTATGCCTGCCATGTGGGCCTTTGTTTCTAGCAAATCTGTGTCATATTTCCTTTCTAGAGATTTCTTTTCTATGCACAACTTATTTTTTTTTTTATAGATAAAGGAGTAAGAAAGTGTCTTCCATTGGTGGCCTAAGAAGTCATCAAGCCCTGTAATGCTCAAAAAGAGAAGAGACATGCTGGATTTTCTTAACATTTTTTCAGTTAGTTCTATACCCTAAGAGGGCGTAACTGAGGAGGAAAATGCAGAAGGCATGCTAAAGTAAGCATGTATTACTTCATTCCCATTTCTGATCAGAAAGTTATTGCACTGTCATTAACCATGGACAATAGAATATGAATGTGAATCATTCGTGAATATCTACATTTTATGAAAGTTGTTGATGGCAACTTCAATGTGAGAAAACTTTGTGTGCTCAGGGAGTTTGGGGCCTGTGCTTGTTTGAGTTAGCACACTAATCCCTGTTTCCGGGTATCCTTTCATTCCTATAACGAGGGGGTAATCCTCTGGTGTAACTCAGTATTCACTATTCTGATCTCAAGAGGAGAACTACATTAAACAAAAAGCATTTCCTCACTCCTCCCCTTGCTTCTGGGCAAAGAACAACATGGTTCATATCTAGGCAGTATTTATATCTTTTGTTGACAAGATCATAAATGCAGATGTGCATGTAAGCATCCTCTTGGTTTAAAGGCTGATACTGTTAAAATTGTTTCCCTGTTTTAAAATTCTTGCCTTTTTTGTAATTCTTGACAGTCCTAGATTGATGCTTATTTACGCTGGGGTTCATTCACACACTGTTTTGAACATTTGTATACCAACATATTTTTGTCAAGGGAAGCAAGCCTTGAAAAAAAATTTAAATCGTTTCTACGAGTTAGCACTGGAGAAAATTATCTCTCCTTGCAGTCAGTTTTTGTGGACATAAAGGGCATGTCGGGTGAGCACAGACTGATGACTAGAATGCAATGAAAATTTGGCACTCTTGATTCTCGGAAGACACCCCAGAGAGATCTGTATGATCAGTCACGTGTAGGGCCACGTATTCTCTTCAGATGTGCTTGCCCCTCAAGTTCCTTCTTGCCTCTGAATGCATCGCTGTGTGCAGACTTGCGCCATGCTGTAGTGTTGTCTGGAGCTGGGAGGGATGGGTCTGCAGTCTAGCTGGGCCAGGTACAGACAGGTCCAGTCTACATCAGATGGCTGAAGCTCTGTTATTCCACAGCTGGTTATGGATGGTTTTAACCTAATCTGATGACCAGGTGATGGAAAGACACAGAGGTCTGCGTGCTTATGCTTCATTCTTAAACCATCTCTTAGTATCACAGGATTGGCTGTGTGAGCTCACACATTTGGAGATAGCTCTATAACCAAGTGTTATCTTGTGGAAATTTTGAATGTACTTGTGTGGAGTTCGGTAGCTGAATAAATCTAGGGGAGATGTGGGGTCAATAAGCAGTTCAAGGACTCAGGTCTGGAGAAAATTCTACATAAAAGGCCAAAATAAGATGTAGTTCAACTTTTAAGAAAGCCTGTGGGAAGCATTTGAAGCATACAAAAAGAATCAGGACATTGGAAACTTGTCTTTCCCAGTAGAGACCCTAACAACAGTTTTAACAGTATTATTTACCATCTGCTGCTTCACTGGAAAGAGAAAATTGTGAGTGTAATTTCAGAATGAACCCTTTTTGTCAAAGCCAGACTGATTCAAAGCTCTAAGCAAATTACTGGCTTTGTTGTTAAAAATTTCTGCATCATAGAATGGGTGATTATTTTTATCCCATGGGTCTCAAAACAGAAAGAGAAAAGAGCTACTGCTTCTTCATCTAAGGTAAAGTTGCAAGAAAGAGAGACGTTAAGCTGGGTTTTTGTTGTTTTGGTTTTTTTTTAATGAAACACTTCTTTTAGATGTCATTTTGTATGCCCCACATAGAACAGAAGAGACTAATTTACTTTCACGGGCACATGGAGGGCATTTTTGTCATACAGCAGGTCCCCTATGATGCTTAACTGGC